ATTATGTCCCGTATTATGCCCGTACAAACGTCCGGATTATGCCCGTACAAACGTCAGTCTAGCACATATGCCGTCCGATAAAGGCGCCACTACGCTATATACACACCATCACCACCATCACGTCGTGAGTTTTACCATAACTTTATTCAGTTGCCGTTTGTCCTTTACAGGTGAAATGACCAGTGTTATTATTGCATTCCTTCATATTTATAGAACTAGTCTACTATATACCATAGATATATACAACACATATCTATATATATATATATATATCTGATGTTGTATATATCTATGTATATACCTAGTACCTACTACTAGTACTAGGGCTATACTACTAGTATAGCTACTACCCTATACCCCCCCCCAATACTACTACTACTACTACTAGTACTAGTACTAGTTACTACTACTACTATTACTAGTACTACTACTAGTTACTACTACTAAGTACTAGTACTACTACTAGTTACTACTACTAGTACTAGTACTACTAGACTACTAGTACTCCTACTACTAATTACTACTATAGTACTACAGCTACTACTACTAGTACTAATACTATATATAGTATAGTACTAGAGCTAGTACTACTACTAGCTCCAAGAAACGGTCTTTGCTAGGGTTAGAATACCTCTATACTATTACTAGACAGGGGCGGATCCAGAGGGGGGGTCGAGGGGGTCCGGACCCCCCCCCTTTTTACCACAAAAAAAGGGAAAAAGCATACACACACGCACGCACGCACGCACGCACGCGCGCGCACACACACATGTACACTTCTCTTATATTGTCTCCATAAAAAAATATTGTTTAGCGCTAGTTTATCTGATAAAGATTTACTTATATATATGTAAATTCGTTATAAAAACCTAGAAATGGGCAAATAGGGGTCCGCAGGCGTCCGGCGGACCGGATCTGATGAATTCTAGGACGCTATCGTAAACAGCAGAAAGATTCTTGATGAGAACGAAGTTGCTCAGGCAGCATCCAAACGTCCAACTATACAGTGGCACAAGATTTTCATATATATTGTAATAGGTGTAGTTATTATCGCAGTCTTATACTACTGCTGTGCTCCCCAACATTTGCTCCCGAACCTCTGTGTTATGCGCACATCCCATATACCTATCACCCCCATTGTTAAACCCATCCAAGCCGCAGCTAAACCCGTATGCCAGGCTGTTACAGCCACAATCCCATTTATAACACAGCGTCTATCTCCTGCACTCCACCACGAGTCCCTACCACAAGACATCCCAGTACCTCGCACTCACTCACACCCTTTGGAACGTGATGAAGATGAGGATGCAATAGAGTTGAAACCACTGCAGCACGTGAAGTAGTATGCATACACAAGTGAGGTGCATGATCACTCACAGACGTAGGAGCCTTCCATAACCTACTAAATTACGTTGCCCATGTATATTAACAATAGCAATATGTAACTGTAGAAATAGACTAACAATGTCAAGCTTTGAATATATAAAAACCCATCTACTTGACTAATGATATTGGTTACACTGTATGGCATGTCATCTAACTGTACCCTCTCGAGCATCAGCAACGACAATATGACACCAGGCAGCAGCAACGAAGAGACTCATGCAGCCTTTGCAACATCAGCGGATGTTTGCAGACATGTCGAACGGCCGCACGGACCACAACTACCTGGCCAGGCCACCGACCACCTGTCGGCCACTACATCTGTGGGCCATTTGAAGGCTACCAGGCACCTCGGCCACTGACCATATGGCTTCACCAGAGGATACCATTGATTGCACCAACCATAAGCGGGACATGAGGGATGCCCAGCCATGCCCAACGTCATCTGGGGCTGGCCAGTACAACCCCATCCCCACCTACTCCCCCACTCCACCACTATGGACCACTCCACCACTATGGAGCCTCTGCAACGACATGCATTTATCACAACGGAAGAACGCACAACGAACAACGGACAATGAAAGGACGACGGACTCCAGGACTCAAGGACCCAGGACCCAGGACCAAGGGCCAAGGATGCGCGACTAACCCTCGTCATTGTACGCGAATATAGGCATGTTACACGACTAATCACATGACTTTAGCGCAAGTAATTATTATATGTTTTTACATAATATTTGTGAACGGTTAAATTTTTTTTCGCAAGGTAATGGTAATAGACCTGCTATACAATGACGATCACAAAAACATACACCAGTATGACTAGCTTTCAACTTTTATTATATTAGGCGCGTTCACACACAAGAAAAACCGCGCTGCTCAGCTCACTAATATCGGAGCTAATAGTGAGCTGATTGTGTCGTTGTTCACACAGGCGGAAATAGCTCGCTAATCGCCGCGGTGCAAATATCACGCCGCGGTGCAAATAAGTGAGCTGATTCCAAATTAGCCCAGTCGGAAGTGGTCTTAGGAGCGGGCTTTTTAGAGCGCGATTTAGTGAGCTAATTGCGTTCACACTTGTAAAAAGCTCAGTTTTTCGAGCGAGCTACAAAAACCGGGTTTTGCAGCCCACTAATTCGCGCCAGTGTGAACGCACCTATTAGGTGCGTTCACACTGGCGCGAATTAGTGGGCTGCAAATCCCGGTTTTTGTAGCTCACTAAAAAAACTGAGCTATTTACCAGTGTGAACGCAATTAGCTCATTAAATCGGGCTCCAAAAATAGACCACTTCTGACTGGGCTAATTTGGAATCAGCTCGCTTATTTGTGTGTGAACGCTGTACCCGGTACGTTCTATCCCAGCATTCCAAGCGATCGTATCAACATTCGGCAGTGAGCGGTGCTAGTGCTCGTACTGACGACGTACGTGCTTGGCCGTTTTGGCATGTTTCAAGAAAAGATGCAGTCTTGACTCTGTACTAACAATCACTTACTAACTGTACTAACTAACTAACTGTACTGTACTAACTGTACTTATAATAACAACTGTATTATAGCGTAAATACGATGTGTTTACGTAAATGCGTGCAGACGTAGAGTAGCATACGGTAATTATCTCTGCAGCGTGTGATGAAAATGAGGTATGGCAGAAAAATGGCGTATCATACTGTCGCACGTGTGAGAACTACTACAACCAGAACCCCGGCAAATGTAGCCGGTATACGGGTTGCCACTGCGTGGAGGGCATGATACGACACGAAAATGGAACGTGCCTTAACGCTACAGACGCATGCGAATGCATCGACGACCAAGGCCGAACGCAAAACGTGAATAAATATCCTCGAAATCTGCGAATTCACAATCTCTACAAATATATCCGCCATTTAGCCACCTCATTGTTGTAAACTTTGTAACCTGTCACTCCGTTCGATGATTTATGTATACATAGGAACATTTGCGTATTAGCCTATATCCCCTTGTAAAAGAAAGGAGACAATTACATTTGTGTGCCACAGTTGTGGTACTCCATGTTCCTACAGTTTAATTACACGATTTTCAATTACACACACACGCACACGCATGCACGCACGCACGCACACACACACACACACGCACGCACACGCACACACACAACACACACACACCACACACACACACACACACACGACACACACACACAGACACGCTAACATAACGCATATATATTTTACGGTTATCGTAGGGCAAACGTCGCGTGGTGAGCGCCGACAACTGTGACGACTTGTACATGCCTGAGCGTGTCGTCGCATGCGCCCGTTGATTCGTCCGCCTCTAGAGTGTCCCGAGGGATGGGAGCATCACTACAGACCTGGAGCGTGCTGCCCGCGCTGCAAGAAAACCCGTCGTATCTCCACAACACCGGTATAAAGACCAGTGTGAAGATAAACGCCCAGCCTGCTGATATATATATATATATATAATATAATATAATATAGTTTATTATATATATTATATAATATACTAATATTATATATATATATATATATATATATATATATATATATATATATATATATATATAATATAATAGTATACTAGAAAGGTACCCGTCTAATGGACCGGTGTTGGGTTGATGTAAATGATCTAGGCGGTAGTCAATAAGGGCAAATCTGGGGAAAATGAGAAATTTCCGCTATCAGTGCGTGTGTTTGTAGCGACGTACATTGATAAACAACCCGCTATACCATTACAAATCAGAAACACACACTAAAACAGTATGTGTGTAAACAGTATACCGCAGCGCGGGAAGAAGCAGTGCCAACACTCATTTATTGTATCCGCGATTTCTAATCATCTAAAAATATTATCACAATCACTATTTCGCTCACCATTAATCATTAATCATTAATTAACTAATTAAACAATGAGTAATTATTCCGCCCCCGCACAGCCGAGAAGCCGACATGTCGGATGCAGAACATCACCCGCACGGTGACGGACTCTGCCGGATGCTCGGCTAACGGTGTCACGGTGAGCATGTGCGTCGGCTCGTGTCCCTCTCACGAGATCCCGCTCTGGTTCGACATCAATACGACCGAGAAGGACTGTAAGTGTTGCACGGGACTGAAGAGGCGCGAGCGCGTCGACATGATATGCAAGGACGGCACGCCGAAGACGGTGGAGTTCAACCAGATGCTGACATGCGAGTGCCAGATCTGCTCAAGTAAGTAGCCTCGAATTCTGTAACGCCCCCCCCCCGTATCATTAATATTGATCTATCTATTGATCTATCTATCGATTGATCTATCTATCTATCTGTCTGTATATATATATATACATATATACATACATACATATATATATATATATATAATAGTGTGTGTCTTGTTGCTGTATAGCCTAATGGAGAAACATATTCCCGAAAACTCACTAATTAAAATTTGACACCTCATTCTATTGTTTTCAATATTCATTTTTTTTCCTCTCTCTCTCTCTCTCTCTCTCTCTCACCCCCGGACCGCGCCCTCACATCATCGTCCTCATCCCCCCTCCGCCCTCCGCTCCTCCCTCTCCCTTCTCTCTCGATCTCTATATATATATATATGATATCATATATATAAATGTATTTTAGTGGCATCAAGTTGATAAATCGTTGAAATTCCATTGGATAAACGGCAGCAGGCACATGAAGCAATAGGGCCCGCCTAGGGCGGGCCCACTATTGCTTGCGGCTGACGGCATTGCTTATTAATAACGCACGTTGTGTTCACTGTCACGAATCTCCTGCGGTCCCTGGGCAGCCCACGGCAATGAGTTTCGAACGGGGCGGTTGTGTTTGTTTGTTCGAAAAACGGTTCTTTTGTTTACATCGAATGCATACAAACCGGCAAATTAAGGGATATAAAATGAAGGTAATATAAGTATGAAAAAGTAGATTGCAATAGTCATGTGATGCAGCTAGTGTAAAAAACAATTATATGCTGTTTGTTGGGGCAACTAATCTCTCATAAGTTGTTGCTTTTGAGAGAAAATACGTGGCCTCGCTAACCGCTCGGGCACCTATTCCCTTCCCTCAGCAAACACTAGAGAGCATAGTGCCCCCAACAGGCAAGCATTAAAATGATATTAAATAACGGTTTGAAATCTAAAACTTAAAATATAAGCGAATTCTGTGAATAATCACGAATGTAATTATGTGTTTAATAACAAATAACAGAATCTGCTAAGACTAATGTGTCCTTTTGTTATAGTAGGTATACATAGCGCGTTCAACACACAGAAAAAACCGCGATGGCTAATCGCGATGAAATACCGAGATAATTGAGTCGTTGTTTTTCACACAGCGAATGAATCCGGCTATATATCCGCGCGACGAAATAAAATTCTATTAATAGAACTGCGCAATGGCTTCAGCTTTGCCGAATGAATGCTCACTTGCTGCGCATGCACCACTTGCTTGACAACTCGCACAAGTTGGAATGATGGAAGAAAATACCGGGTATTATTTTGCAGCGAGCAGTGAACAAGACAACGCAAAGTAATCGCAGCCTAACATTCAAATAATCGGCGCAAGCAAAAGATGCGATTTGGAGGCGCGGGATTGGCTGATCGCGAATTAATTAGTAGGTATTTATTGCGTTCACACTTGTAAATAATCTCGGTATTTCGAAGTCGCGGATAGCAAAAACCGGAATTTTGCAGAATCCGCGCTTATTTCGCCGCACAGTGTGATACGCGCTATTGTGCTTGCGTATAACTGACGTAGTTTGTTGTACTGCAAGGGCAGGCCGCTGAGTAACTACTACGTTGATGGATTCACCGGTGGATACGAAGGACCGTCGTAGACAAACGATGAATCAACATCATCACCATGGAAACAACCTCGTTGGACTAAGATATAACGGATCATCGAACCCAAAGGAACGCCAGTCATTGTGGATTACGAGAATAACGGATATTAATCTCTAAAACCACGTGATTGCACAACAGGTCGGACTTAATTATTTATAATAGCAGAACTTTCTCTTCGTTGTCGTGAGTCCGATTCTATATGCGCATAAATATTATAATTGTCACTGTATAGTACAATACCGCAGTCACTATCGGCAGCAACACTATTGGAAAAAATAATGTATGAAATATTATATATATATAAATTATTTATCTATTGCAAAATGAAATGATCTTGCTTGATGTTTATTTGTTTGTTTGTTATGCATGCTCGTTGAAATGGCGATCATGCTTCGATGGTCCCGACAAACGCGCAGCCACGATCTACTACCAACATTCACGAATTAAAACATATATATAAATATATATATATATATATATATATAAAAATATATATATATATATAATATATAATAGATATATATATCATTATATACTTATTGCAAGTAAACAATTGTCCCTGATCAGATAGTCCAAGGCCCAGCATCTGTCCTATATATATGTTCTGTAAATGTGTGAGTACGGATGCAAACTAACTATGTTAAACAGAGCGGGACGATGGCAATCTTTCAACAGTATCATAAATTTACAGAAAAAAAAAAAAAAAGATGTGATTGACGGTTTATAATTAAAGATATCTTTATTTTGAGGATTGTCGTTACTGTGTGGGTATTGTCATAAAATACTTCATTTTTATTTATTTTTTAAATATAGTTTAATAATATAATTTTTAACATTCATAACATTTAATATAGAGTGAGATAAGAATCCAGGTAGCTCTTGGTACCCAACCTAATAGATATACATGATTTCCTTGGCTGAAATCTGCCACCACGACAGCCTGGTAGCGTTAGTTTTTTGTTTGATGGAATTACCACCTAGGTTAGACCATTTCTGTATTTCTATATGGTTAATATATACTTTTTGCGGGTATGAGCTTTAACTTATAACTAACACGATAGATGATGCTCATGACATGCAGGCCATTAGCATGTCTCCAGGCGAGTTAGATGAGGAGGCAGGGTCCCTGATGTCGCACACTCAGATCTAAGTAAAATGATTGAGAGAAATTATTGTAGATTAGCCCTACGAGCACACACACCCGCGAATGTTGCACTCTGTAAAATAGCGGTATAGCGCATGCGCATCACACCACTCTAGCCAAAAATTATATTAAGCTGCGACGTAACAATGTTAGCCTTCTTTCCAAAAGAATTAGAAATATACAAATAGCTTAGGAATATAAAAAACCTTTATATCCCATGTCTAAATTTATAACTGATGCGCGGATTTTGACACGATGAGCTAATAATTATGATATAATAGTCAAATCAAAAACTCGCTTATAAGTGTGATGAGAATGCCACTGCCTCAGTAATTGCGAGCCAGTACAGACGCAATAATACTACCTTAAGTTACAAAAACACGAATACACAATTTAAATACAAAATTTTAAAGTTTAATATTATTTTATAATACTATTAAAATTTGAGCTGGTGTAGCAATTCAACTATATACGTACGTGGCCGAGTTCTCTGTGCGCATCGAAGAACACAATGGCTGCTATAGATTTTACCATCAGTGCCGCAGACAGGAGCGTATATCAGCGTAGGGGCACATACACAGACATGCGGCTCATTATTCCCACACCTGCCCTGGGACAGCTGGTAGAGAGCTGGAAGCACGGTTGAATAGAACGATTTCGACAAGTTTTACCTTATTTCCTTCTTACAAGATGCGCGCCTTATACCCGCCTACCGCAAGATGCGCGCCTTACCTCCACAATAAAGTTTTATTGTGCAGTTAATATTGCCATAGTTCGAATTCTGTAGATTCGATACGACTGAATACTGTCGTTCAGCCAATAAATTAAACACTGCGTGAACTTAATTAATTCAGCAATGTTAACTAAATCATGTTATGGATAAATTATTCGTATACATGTGGTCCATGATGTCAATCCAAAAGTTCGACTCGTCTAATTTAAGATGAGATTTACGGTGTTTTTTTGTACTTCGTATAAACGCATTGATGTAGTAGCTAGCATGCTACACTATACGGAGAAGCGCCATATAATGATTTAATTTACATTGCTGACCGAAATCCTTAAAGCTAGTTGCTTAAGGCTAGTTGCTTAAGGGTAGTTGCTTAAGGCTAGTTGCTTAAGGCTAGTTGCTTAAGGCTAATTGCTTAAAGCTAGTTGCTTAAGGCTAGTTGCTTAAGACTAGTTGCTTAAGGATAGTTGCTTAAGACTAGTTGCTTAGGGTTTGTAAGGGTAGTTGCTTAAGGCTAGTTTCTTAAAGCTATAGTTGCTTAAGGCTAGTTGCTTAAGGCTAGTTGCTTAAGGCTAGTTGCTTAAGACTAGTTGCTTAAGGATTGTTGCTTAAGACTAGTTGCTTAGGGTTTGTAAGGCTAGTTGCTTAAGGCTAGTTGCTTAAAGCTAGTTGCTTAAGACTAGTTGCTTAAGGATCGTTGCTTAAGACTAGTTGCTTAGGGTTTGTAAGGCTAGTTGCTTAAGGCTAGTTGCTTAAAGCTAGTTGCTTAAGACTAGTTGCTTAGGGTTTGTAAGGGTAGTTGCTGGTATCGACTCTGAACCATTCATGCTTTGACATACTTACACTCTAGCTTACACATACACTTACACTCTCATGTTTTATTTTTATCTTCATTTATAATAATGATAACTACACCAACACCCTGTACATTTTTATGCTCTACTGTCTACCTTATATAGATAATATATATATATATATAAGTAGCAGCCTCACCTGAATCACGTCTCTGTGCACATCGTAGCTGGCAGCTGCTGCTGTAGGTGATACTGTCACTGCCGCAAACAGGGTCGTATGGAGTCGTACAAATACATTCTTCGTGGGGAGGATTTACTGAGCATGCTCCGCGACTAACTTGGTAAAGCCCTCGAAACAAAAAATGGACCAAGTTTGCTTTAAACGTCATTCATATCACGAGTGCAAATGGCGCGTGCTGTGTATGCACGAGAAAAAAAATACTTTACTATTTTTCCATTCTTTTGCGTCATACCGGAATTTGTTCTCGTTGCGCACTGCAGTTCGCATTCGTTGCCATATGTTCTTTCATCGCTTCCACAGACTGGGTCGTAGTTATCAGTGCAAACACAACCTTGATTACTGTCGCATACTCCATCGTAATCCTTGTACAGACCTGAAAATAATAAAGCAACAATGTATTTATGTTGTGACAGTTATGTACACGCTACAATGTATTAATCCATTTATCACAGAATTATATATAAGAATCTGACATATATTTATACTAACTATCAACCTTACCTGTATTATATCTCTTGGCACATGTCAGTTTACAATCGTTGCTGTATGTTTTGCCATCGCTTCCACAGACAGGATTGTAGTTCTTAGGGCATGAGCAGCCTTGGTTATTGCCACATGCTCCGTCGTGATCCTTATACAGGCCTGAGGAAAAGTAAAGTTGACAATCAATGATGCATTATGCGCCACGTTCTTCGACCTCATGATTCTATCGAACGTTTCTTGTCAGTCAAATGTGAATTTAATACCTGTGCATGCAAAGCCTAAAAGCTGTTAAAGCGGAGTTAGAGAATGCGTGGTACTAGATTCGAAAAATCGACGACTAATAAGAGTCAGTATTACAATGGGCCGTTGACCACTGCGTATAGAGATAGCGTTGTAGCATAAATTATGTTCTGTATTCTAGGTATTAACATATGTTTTCTTTGTGAGATATTGTGAGTCGCCGAAGCTGCATTCACGAGAGAGCACGATTCGAATTGACTGATATCCCTACCACCATCGTTGTAAGCGTTAAAATGGTGCGTTTGACCAGCGCGTATGTTACGAAATGTGATTTGTATTCTGTTTAGTTTAGTTTTCTGTCATATTTGTGTGCTAACCCCTGTTCCTTTGTCTCGAGATCCATCGACACGTACTGACGGAAGAGTCGAACGTGTACAATCTCAGCAGATCGACAGCTTGTGCACTACTATCGTCGCATCATGTTGTAAGTATATCGTAGTTCTTATAAATAGCTACGGAGGTAATGTCTGCATATTTCTGTGTTTTCTCATGCGATTGCATGCTCATGCATATTTTGGCCGAGCGTATGCCGTATACTATATGATATCGTGGATATCAAGCCTTTATTTATGTTACTCATCACGCCACTGCCTTTACTGCCTGTCGGCCTCTCTGTCAAATTTGTCTTTCATTTTCACTCGTTCCCCTCCTTGGTCTAACCATATCACTGTTTTCGTCATGGCGAACCATAATCCTCCACCGTGTCCCTACCCGAAACATCTGCGTACCGTTATTCCTTTGTTCAACCCTCAACCTAGGCCGCTATATGTCATGAGAGGCACAACCCTGCTACACCTTTGTTCATAACACCTCCTCACACCATCACACCAATTATCCACGCCATAAGTCTTTCACGTCACGCACAAATTCCGCACCCCGTCTTTCGTCAACACCCATGCCCTCCAATTCTTCAAGCACGTTGCATAATCGCCCTTACACACCATCCCGCGGCCGCACACATTCTCACGCCGTATGCGAGCCGCTAATGTCCACCCTATTGTGTCGGTCGACACGGCCACACCAGCTATCAGCACACAAGCAAAACCGGTCTGTGAGAGCTCGATGGGGCCGGGCGTGATTGACAATGCATCGTTTAACGAGCTCGCGCACAGTGAAACAAGGCTAGCAACCCGCCTTGTTACCTCGCATGTTTATGAAGATGATATGATGATAGTATGAGAAGATGATATGATATGATAAGATGATAAGATGATAAGATGATAAGATGATAAGATGATAAGATGAAGCCACAAAGGGAGCCACACCTACCGCGAGTTCGTCCACAAAGCCTACAAGGAGGCAGCCACCGCGACAAGCAACGCTTGCGTACCCTATGATGAGGGACACCTACACATCCGATCACGACTCGGATTCCGAGAATGAAGCCATAACTGAAGCCAGCAAGGAAGCCACACCTAGGGAGCGTGCAACGACAAAGGCCACTGGAAAGCAGCCACTGCGACAGGCAACGCTAGCCTATCCTACGATGAGCGACACCTACTTCCACAGTGAGGATTCTGATGCGGATGATGAAGCCATTCGGCCAAGACAAAGGGCTTAGCAAGGTTAGTACCAGCGCAGTTGCAGTAATCATCTACGTCAAGCGCCCACTTGGAGACCTCTGATCAAGGACTACTTGAGTGGGAAGGCGAGGCAAGCAACAAGCGACAGGCAATGATGTCTTGAGGATCCAAGACATTATTGACAGCCACGCTACACATAATGAGATCTACGCACGTGGCAGACAATACGACCGAGTCCAGATGAATGCGTATCCACCCACAACTAACCTACCACAAAGATAACATTGTTATAACGGCGTCACTGCTAATATAGACCAGTGATAGATAGTTAGCCAACAAAAAACTCCTAATAACCTGCCGCTGATCAGGCGCGCGCAGAGCGCAAGGGGAGTGGGCTCAACTTCGATGTGTCTGAGCGAGCGTATACTAAACAATGTTGTCTTTCAGTTGCCCATATCCTATGTCCACCTACACCATTGTACAGCCCACCTTTCAAACGGGTTTACAGCCCATCTCCAACGCGACCCCTTCCTTCCGCCACGATTGATGATGATGGAGCAAATCGAAGGTTGCTTGCTCACCTGCTTGCGAGCGCCAATAATAACGATAAAGTTGAGATGAAACTAAGAATTATGTTAAGAAGTCTGCAGACTAGAACACACCGTAGTTATAAGGACAATGATGTACGTGCGATGTATTGTGTCACTAGGTAATTAACAAACACATATTTGTATCACGCACCATGTAGGTACACTGTATGATTCACGATAATGCACTATATGTATTCACTATATTACACTGTATGTTTCACGTGTGACACACTCTATGTTACACCATGTTTAGCACAATATTTGCTACGACGCACTAACTCACATATTTTAAATGCATTGTTTATTGTTTTAAGCACGCTATTGTCAAGTGCCACTAATCACCGTTGTATTTACATGTCGCAGTATATATGTTAACCTATCCTCTTTTGAGCACCTTCAGTCACTACCAGCACCATCATGATGGAGGGATGCAGCACCAACGTTTGGCCTACCGACGAAGACGACACGATATTGTGGGACAATAGCGACATCGGCGAACCACCTCATATATCGACAGTTACGTAGCTCGCCGCCCCAACCAGGAGCCGAGGTCACAAGGAGAGCCACCGCACAAACGATTCTGTGCGAGTCAGTTCACCCTACCCGCAAACGGGGTGCCGACCGCCACGACGACAACCACAACAACGACCACGACGCCAGCGAAGATGACGACGACGAGGATGACTTTTACAACTAGGACCCGAAGCCCAGTTGAGCCCCGCCAGTGCCCATTGACAATTGGGATTAGGCTACAACAACAATGATCACGAGACGACGACCACCACAGCGACGACACGGACCCCACACCAACGGACCAAGAGGACGACGGCGACTACGCTAGATTGTTTATTATTATATAACAGAAAATAATGATTTTAATAGAATATAAAATAAAATAAAAATCCATTGTTAGTTAAATTAAATTTTAGTTAATTTAGTTAAGTAAAATTAGGTGAAGGTTTTTTTTAAGTAACAAAATAAAAATGAAATAGCATAATGCATAGCCATAAAGAAACAAAATAGAGAAAGCATATATAATAGAGAAAAGTAGAGTTTAGATGCACAGATAATTTAGTCTTTCCGGTTACAAAACAAAACAAACATTTTAAAATAAAAGACGTATTTTAGTCAACGCATCAATACAGTTACGGAAGTTGGTCGCCGCAGTGCTACGGCTCCCAACTTGTCATATGGGGAGGGAGTAATGTAATGCAGAAATAATAATAATGAGTAAGGTAATACGGAATATTAATAATAAGAAAAGCAGAGGGATAAGACCAGCTCTTTGTCTTAGAAACACGCACGTGTGTAGCTAGACTTAGCCCGCAGCACGTAATTGGGCTGGTCGTAAAAGGGGTGTGACCACGACCCACACCAGCAGCCAATAGAAGCACTTGTCCTGTGGACACGCGTGAACAGAGATTAACGGCGCGTAGCCAGCCAATACCAGCGCACGGATAGTAGCACGCTTGACCAGCGCTCCCTCGACCAATGGCAGCGCGTTGGTTAGGACAATGACGAACGCGTCACTACTTAAAGCGCTGTTTTATGAAATTAGGATCTCTCTACGTATTTGCATTTTAGTCTACGAACGTGTCATGTATAGTATTACTGCTTTCACCGCTGACGATCGCAACGATAGATATGTAAGTGCAGGCTATGTCGCGTAACCTTCTGTATACGTTCGGTTCATTACATGGACACCTAGTGTAGAGATTTCGGTTACACCGAAGACTCTATTTACAAACCACAACACACGACAGGGCGCGGCCATTTTTGAATAACTGAAAACCTGAATCGGAACACGAAGTTATTCCACTTGAAAAAATTAATACGCGAAATCAAATAAGGGAAAAATCGAGCCATAATAAAATACAGGTTAAAAAGCTAATGAGTAAATAAGTAAAACGATAATTAGAATAGAATACAAATGGAAAATTACTCGGCTAGGACAGCTGACGCAACAGGTCTAAATGCGGAGCATAATGTAAACACACGGCCGTAAACACACGTGCTGGGGAACACTCCTGCTTGTTGCTAGGAGAAGGGGGTGGATCGTACACGGCCAGGTAGCAACGAGGCCGTATATAAGGCGGCCGAAAAGCAGGAGAAAGCAGAACGCCGGGGCAGCAGCCCCCTTAGGAGCACCAAAGACACGGATCACTAAAGACACGGAGCATTAAAGACACGGAGCATTAAAGACACGGACCACTAAAAGACACGGAGCATTAAAGACACGGAGCATTAAAGACACGGAGCATTAAAGACACGGAGCATTAAAGACACGGAGCA